CAGAAACCACTGAAAACCGGCCTGGAGTAAGGGACAGCTATTTCGCCCTAGTTTGGGACTCTTCATTTGAACGTACACACCAGGGTTCGAACCCAGAGAGCTTCCGTCTACAAGATGTGCTTATAGATGAATTCTAACATCTGTCAGTTGCTGCGATATAGACAGTGCAACCAACACACATGTGCCTAAATGTTAGAGAATCCTAATCCAGACACAACAATAAACAGTTTCGAGTACTATAATGCCAATCATTACAAATTTCTTACCTGTAGTACACTAATTTATTTCAGATGGTGCATGTGGTTGTGGAAATCAGTGTTCCGGATGTGCACAGAAAAGTGACGGTGAAAATGAACTGGGCTGTGGATGTGTTGGAGCACACGAGGATGGTATATGCCCTGCAGCACAATGATCTATCCTAATGCAGTCTGTATTAATTAAACTTTATTGTATACTTTGTATTCAATTTTTTATGTATTGTAAACATTTTTAATAAATGAATAAATGAGTTTTTAAGATAACTGTCTCATTAAAAACCGGTTTTGTGATCATTTCAATAACTCAGGTATTGTGAACTATCCCTAAATGGCTTGATTCTGCGTATTTTGATAAAATCAACAGTAGTAAGTGGTTCAATTTGACGATGGTGACTGTACACACACACACACTAAGGTGAATGTGTAATTTACTTACCATCTATTCTCAATATAACGGATTATCTTAAGTTCTGCCTTGATATATGCTGTCCCAAACAAACACTATTCAAACGCATCGACCGCTTCTCATCTCCTTATCTCAAACAACTTCGAAGGCAAAAAGAAATATTATACAAATCCAAAGACAAGTTAGGACTCAAAAAGATTAATGCTCAAATCAAATCTGAAATAAAAATCTTAATGCTATCTATAATGATACTTTTTTATCTTGCAAATCTCCTATCTGCATGTGGAAGCTTTTTAATGAAATTACTGGCAATAGTAAGCGTTGTAATGCTTTTCCCTCTTATGATGTTAATGCTCTTAATCAGTCTTTTATACGCTGTCCTTCTACTTTAACTACTTCTAATGTTACCTATCATGTAGCTGAAAACTTTCATGACTTTAATACTCTCGATGTTCTAAAATGTCTTAAAACGCTCAAGCCCTCACGTAGCCTTGGTCCTGATGGTATACCTGCCTATGTTCTAAAACAATGTGTAGATGTGTTGTGTTCTCCACTAACCAACATCCTAAATGCCTCTTTCTCCAAAAATATCGTACCTGATGCATGGAAAGACATCAAAATTGTCCCTGTCCCTAAAACTGGAAACGGTGAGAACGTAAAGTTCAGACCCATTGCCATCACTTCCCCGTTTCTAAAGCTTACGGAAAAACTAATACTTCTTAAACTTGAGCCCTCCCTTAAAAACTTCGAAGACCCCAAACAATTTGCCTATAGACAGGGTAGGAGCACTTTAGATGCTGCAGCTGTCTTACACAACAACATCGTCTCATCATTAGATAAAGGTGCCAAATACGTCCGCTGCACGTTTCTTGACTTCACTTCTGCTTTCGACTCTGTTCCTAGATGTCTCCTGCTAAATAAGCTCTCTTTGACAAAAACCGAGTCCTGGGTCACTAACTGGCTGCATTCCTAATTCTCTAACAGAATGCAGTACACCGTATACAAAGGTAAATCATCCTCTGCTGTACTCACTGAAGCCGGAGTCCCCCAAGGGGCTGTACTCTCTCCACTTCTCTTTTCTTTCTTTCTACATGACTTACCATCTTCAAATGACATTAATTTTGTCAAATATGTTGACGATCTGACTGTATCTTTGCCTGTCAAATGTCAAAGCGACTGCTCTAAACTTAATAGCTTTCTGCCAGAAATCAGCCAGTGGTCCAAGGAAAATGGTCTTACCCTTAACCCCTCCAAATGCCAAACAGTCAATTTCACCTTTAGGCATAAATCCAAGGTAAACAAACTGTTTGGCTCTCACGAGGTGTGCAACATAGATGGCACTGAAATAGGAACCAAGTCGGAAATTAAAAACCTAGGCGTCATTCTATCTGCTGATCTCTCCTGGTCGTCTCATATCCTAGCAATTTCTAAGAAAATATTCCGTCTTACCTTCTACATCAAGAAGTTAAGACATTCTGGTATAACCCAACCCTTACTCCTACAATTCGTTAATTCTCTCATTCTGCCTATTATTCTCTATTGTTCCCCCTTAGTTTTCCCGGACTACTGAAGAAAGACTATAACATATTACGCAGGATGTTAAAGGTTGTCAGCAGGGTAAGCAACATGCCACTTAACCAGCTTGTTAATACTCTGGTTGACAGGCACATGGACTCATGTGAAAAATGGGCTAAGTCCATTTTATCTAACTCACACCACCCTCTTCATTCACAACTCTCCCCTTGCATCTCATCAGACAAAACCAGAAGCCTATATAGAAAACTATATGCTCGCACCAGCAAGTACAAAAACTCAACCATACCCTACTTAGCTCGTGTTCTGTGCGATAAAGAAAGCATTAGGCATGATACCTATAACTTATTAAATAGTCAGTAGAACAACTGGACCTCGTCTTCCCAACTCATATAATTTATAGATACAACATTTTCTTTCTTTCTTTTCCTTTTCTCTCTCTCTTTTTTCCGTTATGTGCTGCTTTGTTTCTTTCTTCCGCTTACGCCAGTAAATATGAGAGCACCTACTTTTCTAAAACCTTCAAACACTGTTTCAGCTTTCCTTTGCTACCGATATGCCAATATGTTGTTGCAATAATGAACTGTGATTTCCTTAATCTATGTAGAATTCTATTTATTGATAATGTATTAACTGGATGCAATACTGTAGTAAAAATGCTGAGAATTCCATTCTGTATCATATGTACTGTTTTGGAATAAAGCAAATTTTTATTATTATTATTATTGAGACAAAATAATTCCCTCCTCCCATTTCGATTTCAAATACCAATAAGTGTGATCTTACCACAACGTATGAGAAGGGCCTTCAAAACGACTTTCAACGAAGCTAAGCTATGCTGTGTTTTAACCACCCGACCAACACTTAGTTCAAGAAATAAAGACAGACTGCCCTGTTTCGCCTCTTCCACGTGTATTTACCAGTTTAACCGCCCGTGCGGAGCTAGTTACACTGAGCGCACCATCAAGCAAGTTCATCATCGAATTTCTGAACACCTCCCATCTTGGTTTGTCAAAGGTTGGAATAAAGCTATAAGCAGCTCAGTACTAGCTCATCTCGTCGATTCTTGACATCAAATCGACTCTAACAAGGCTTCTAAAGTTACTTATCGTTTATCACTCAACCTCTCTCATGGTCTACGAGCACGACTTTTACATACAGCAGAGGTAATCGGAATTCATCCAAACAAGCCAAATCTGTGTGTTAAAAGAAATTTGTACAGCCCCTTTCTTTGCCATCACCAACTACATGATATGTATTAATTTTTTGAAAACGAGTTGTTCGCCTCCCCTTGTAACTGTCTTTTGACTCTGTTAATTTTTAAAATTCTGGGTAATTCTATTAACCTGTTTGTATTTTACGTAGCTCTTCTGAGTCATCCTATTCTTTTTAGTCATCATTGCTATTTTACAAACTTCTTGATTAACCAATAACCGGTTGCCAAGGCCTAAGAATCAACTTAACTTGAATTCCGTAATCAATTTTCACCCCTCCTTTAAAACTTAGATATCTTGTTAGTAACATCTATTAATTAATTGTTTTGATGACCTTTAACCTCTTGATTTCACCCATGCCTATACCTAAAACTGATTAACTAAAATAGCCACTTGATTGGTAAAAATATTTTGATGTTAAATAACTACATATGTTAGTGCAGAGCCAGCCGATGATGAGGAACTAATTGAAAAGGAATGCATATATGTCTTCGCTCAATCTGTAGTTTTTTCTAAATGCGTAAATGGGAATTTGGAAATTCCTGAAATACCAAATACATTACTGTTAATTTTGATGTAGTTGAGTTCTATGAGCTGGATAGTGGTTTATTTGCGAAGCTTTCACTGCCCCCTACTAGGCAACATCTTCAGCGAATACTTCAATTTGTTGAAGTGAGCTTTTTAGATTTCTCTCCTAGTGGATGGTGGCCTTGAAAGTGATTGGTGGTTTTTGCGTGTTTTCACACCCTCTAGGCTACTTGTATTAGTGCTGATTGTTTCCTTGACCCGAAGTTTGACTCTTTATGTCTTTATGTCCCTTCTTCATATCGGTTGGTAAATTTTATCTATTTCAATGTTTCTATTGATAGACGACTCACTGGAATACCAGGCTTAGAAAAATTCTCTGCTGTTTTTGGTGTTTCCTCTATCTAATATTTGAACGTTGTCCCAGTCGAATTGATGTCCGTGGTTATCATCATGAAGTCAATTTGTCAATTTGTCTGGGATTTATTATTAATATAAGTGTCAGTTAAAGGTTCTCAGGGGTTGATTCGTAAGGATTTGATCTGTTTTTCGAATTTGCCCAAGGA